ACTGTATTTTTAAGCACATGCCATGTATGTGGTACTTGGGAAATTCACTGGCTTTGTAATAATCAGAGCTTTTTTTGCTGCTCTAGTGGTTCAGTGGGTTACCATATCATTCTAGGTGGAAACTTCTTTCATGATCTATTGTGTGCGTATACAAAGGTACATAATGTAACAAAATTCAATATATAGTATAGGTGAGAAACAGTAAAATGTTCAAGACATGTTCCTCTGGTAACGTGGTAAAAGGACTCCTTTCTCCTTTTTGGTTTTTTCAGAGGTTTCTGACCCCTGTTTCAAAAGCATGCTTTCAAACAAAGTTATGTTGAGAGGGTGTTCTGTGCAGGATCACTGGGGAAAGCTCTGCTTTTTGAGCCTCAGCTGAGGGAGGTGGGAAGGACAATGTGGAGCAGAAGAGAAATGGGTGAATTTCAGTGGTAACTGGAGGGTGGTGAGGCAGGTAGGACCTGAAGTGCAGCTGGGACAGGTCCTTGGCTGCTAGAAAGAGAGCTCAGCCCAGAGAGGCTGAGGAGGAAAGGGAACTGTTCCTTATAGGAAAAGGTGTCCAGTGCCAGGGTGGAAGCCCCAGGTGAAATGGCTCAAACTCCTCCTGCAGCTGTAGGTTGTTATTCCATTTCCAGTATTAGTTCCTAAGTGTCCCTGCAGGATACAACATTCTCTAGTGAATTGTTGGGTTTGGATATTTCTGTGGCTCTGACAGGGAAAACAACACAAATAACCAAGGCAGGAAAAGGAGTGATTCTGCACACCATGGATTTCTAGCCTGTCTTGTGAGCTGAGTCAAATGTTACAAGAAATTGGGCCCTCAAGGATGGCCACATTTTGGTAGTTACCCACCTGCTCTTAATTAGGCAGCATACAGCTTGCCATTCTTTCTGCTTTGCTCAGGGTAAACAGCAGTGGTGACGAGTCTTGAGGCTTTTAGAAGGGCTCTACCTGAGAGGAAATAGTTCTGCCTAGAAGGGAGAGGTAAGATTCTTCTTTTGATCCATTGCTTGCATATGTTTTTATAAATACAGCTAGAGAAAGTAGGGAGGAATTCGACTTTAACTAGAAATATTGCTTTCATTTCATTTTAAATTTAGCCTCTGGTGCCAGTCAATCCCCAATAAAAGTAATCAAAGTAATTAGATTGTGTTTTTGTAGTACAGGTGAAAGGCATTCATCTCTTAGTGGGTGCTGCACTAATTGCATCTGAGTTTTTAACTTGGATACCTAGCAGACAATTTTGAATGGGTTTATCTATGTAGTCATAAATACTGAAACTACCTAATTTCTTTAATGAATTGAAACTCTCCTTTATTTTCCTAATATTGGTGTGACTTGAGGTTGCTAAAATAATCTGGTTTATGACTGAAATAGCATTCTTACCTGTCTCTTGTTTTTCTCTGAGGGAAACATAATATTTTGGTTAATGATACTGGTTTAGAATTAAAATCTGACTCAGAAATAATGCTGCAAGGATGATGAAGTAGCACTAAATTGGTACCTGCTTAGTTAGAGTATCAAAGATTGAATTTTGAGCAACTGCGTAGACATAGAACTTCTTTCTGGTGATTCTGGTGTTTTTCTGGTTTGGGATTATCTAATGAGAAAAAAAAAGTAAAAGGGAATTTTTTGAGAAATGGTTGATGTACAAAACCCACAAAACTAATATAAGTTAGGATTTAAGAAAAGGTTTTAGCACCACAGCAGTTTATCACATCAGGACATGGTAAGAGCTTTAAAAATATGTAATAAAAATATTGATAATAATTTTAAAAATATTTCAAATAGTAATATATATGAGGAATTGTTAAAAGTAAAGGAAGGAGAGAGTACAATTACATAAGGGCTAATTGAGACAAACTGAAATATAGAGGAAATCAAAGTGAGTGAAGGAAACCTGTGAAAATTCCAACTGATACCCTTTCTCTTATTCACTGAGCAATAAAGCAGATTATTTTTTAGTTTGAGATAACATTACCATAAGGCAATGCAATGGGGCTGGGCAAATGAAGTAGGTTGTGTGAATAAGACCTTGATACGTTTTGTATTTCACTTTCATAAAGCAGGAACTTTACAAAATTTTAAGTGATGAAAACCAGGTATTTTGATCAGCCAGCATTTTTTAGCTTTGCCTGTGAGCTATAAAATCCTGTTATTAGTTCATTGTTAGTCTAAATGGATCTGGGCTCTTGTCCTGTGATTTGATAGTAAATCATTTAAGCTGAAGTTACGGCGTGTTCAGTAGGAGAGATAAATCACAGCTTCTCTCCTGAGATTACAGCAGTATGTTAGTCAAAGCATGGTGATGGTGGTGAATCAGTTAGGAAGGGAGAATTAACAGCACTGCTGTGTGCTGGGTTACTGTGCATTAGTGAAGGAAAATACCAAGTTTCTGAAGCACTGTGATTTTCAATATATTTGAAGTCTTCATTGTAATTTATGCTGGCAGGACATATTAAGTTAAAAAAACAAAACTGCTGCCAAGTGGAAAAATACAGTACTCTGTTTGAAAGGGGAGCTTTTTGTGTTTGTGGCATGATCTTAGCAGCACTCTTAAGATGAAGAGCAATTAACTACCTGAATTGAGTAGCAGCTAGTTCATGAGAACACACAGTATTTATTAACTTACAGAACACCTTAATCCTCTGGTGTTCTTTTACATGAAAAATCATTTGACATTCACTGTAAGAGACCTAGGGTTTAACTAACAAACTTAGGGATAACAAAATTAGGGCTAGAAGGCTGCAGGAGCACTGAAATATGCTTTAGCAGTAGCATGAAGATCAGATGTGGATCTTCTTTCCTGCTCTTGCGGTACTTCCCATGGAGCATCTTCAGAAACAGAAATCTCACAAGTTCTAATTGCTGATCCTTTAGGGAAGACATATGTTTCTGTGGGTTTTTGCAGGGAGCTGTTCTCACACAGACAATCAGAAAGTGGTGCTTTAGTGAGTGGTAGAAGCTCTTTATGTTTGGAGAATAGGTCAGCGCACACACACAGCCAAGTCGAACATTTCTAATGAAACGTGACCAAGTTGCACTTCTTTAAAAATTGAAGAAGTGGCATACATTTTGATAATGGAATAATGGAGGCTCCCTACCCCAACTATCATCTCTGCTCATGATCATTAGGATGGGGAATATTAAGAGCAGAGCAACTGGGCGTAACAGCCGACATCCAACATCTGTCATGCTGGAGTCCATTAGTGTTCAATTGCATCCTATTGTTTTTGGATTATTCAACCTCATTTCATTGTCATTGCTTTTGCTAGGGATTAATCAGCTGTTTACAACTACACCAAGTTTTGGAGTCATAATGAAAACAATTGAGCTATAGTTCTAAATAAATATACAGTATTCAGTCTCTAATGAAAAAAGTTTCTAATTTATGAATGCTGGTAACAATTTAATTAAGTTTGAAATCAATACAGATAATAAATCATTGTGTGTCAGGGTTTTTTTTCTTTCCTTTTGTGTACATCATAAAAAGATCATATGATATTTCCTGGTAAGTTTATGTACTTGTGATTTTAGTACAGTACAAGTACAGTAAAAGAAAGATGTTATAATTATGGGGCATGGGTGTGTGTATATTGTGGCTCCTCTGGCACTACAGTTGTAGCAGAATTGATCCTTTGCTGCCAGCAAGAAGATTTTTTTTTCACATCCTCTTTTATTCTTGTCACTTGTTTAGAAATACAGTACTAAAAATACACCTTTAATTCATGTCAAATGCACATACATACTTTAATAGGGTGTATTAAAAAGGGCAGTTTTCAGGTGATTAGTATACTTACATGTTTTTGTCTATAACTATCATAACCCATCTAAATATTTTTGCAATTATTAGGTAAATCTATCACTACATTTTAACTGTTTAAATATATTTAAATTATTTTAATGACTTTGATTTGCTGACAGGCAAATATATCATCCCCTTTTTTCTTAAGACACTACTCTGCTTGCAATGTTTTGTACTTTATACAACATTAAAATTGTCAATGCTGGAGGGTTTCTCATAATTTGAGTTTACTTATTTTGGTACCATATGTGCGAAACAGTTCTATTCTTGGTCATCTATCTTTTAGCTCTTTCTCTTCTTTGATTAATGCAGTTATTCTATCCTCAACACTTAGCCAGAATTTTCACAGGTTTTAATGTACAAATACTACAATGCACAGAGATTTTTTTTTCCCCTTGAGTTGCAACAGATTATCCATTGAAAGGGTCTTTTGCTTAACTGCCCAGAGTCTTGTGGGGCCAGCCAGACACTACTCCAGATGGCAAGTTGTTAGGGCTGGACAGAATGGCTTTGGAAGACTTCTCACCAGATGAAGGCTGTAATGTTGGGATTTTACTGTTTGGCTTTTTCCCCTGTAGTTCCCAGGGTGGGAAGGTGCTGGGATGGCAGCAGCGTGCCGCCCGCCCACCTGCCACCACCTGTTCAGCTCTTGTGCTCCTATAAAGCCTCATCCTGGCCGCTGCACACCATCCCTGCTGGCCAGCAGAGCCAAGGAAAGAGATCTCTGAGGGACTCACGGCTTCAGAGCACAACCATCGCCATCACAAAATCCCCTCCTGAACCGAGCCAGGACTGCTCTCACTTGAAACTGCCATTGGGAGTTGTTGTGCCTTTAATCCAGTACGATCCCTCTTGGATTCAACGGACTCTTTTCTTCATTAACATACATCTTGAGAATGGAGATTTCATTGTTTTCTCTCTCTCTTTGAGATTCAAGAAATTAAAAGAATGAAAGCATAAGACATAAAAAATGCTTCATTCTTTCTTTCAACGATAAGAAACAATTTTCAGACATTTCCAGAAGAACCAGAAGAACTTTTATTATATTTATTTTTTTAGAAGGCAAGAAAAATACTCCATAATTTATATTGGGAAATGGATTGAAGTGGTTCAAGGGTTACTCCATGAGTACTTTCCTTACCACTCTTTAGAAGGCAAATTTTTGCTAGCGTGTGACAGTGAAGCTGCACCAACTATGAAGACCTGTAAAGGCAATCCCCTGGAGCCAGTGGTGGAGCCAGGCTCGCAGGGCAGGAGCGCGACGGGCTGTGTGGTGAGGAGCAGCTCGGAGAGGATGGAGAATGGGGCCGGCTGTGTGGTGAGGGGCAGCTCGGAGAGGATGGAGAATGGGATGGGCTGTGTGGTGAGGGGCAGCTCGGAGAGGATGGAGAATGGGATGGGCTGTGTGGTGAGGGGCAGCTCGGAGAGGATGGAAAATGGGATGGGCTGTGTGGTGAGGGGCAGCTCGGAGAGGATGGAGAATGGGGCCGGCTGTGTGGTGAGGGGCAGCTCGGAGAGGATGGAGAATGGGATGGGCTGTGTGGTGAGGGGCAGCTCGGAGAGGATGGAGAACGGGACGGGCTGTGTGGTGAGGGGCAGCTCGGAGAGGATGGAGAATGGGGCCAGCTGTGTGGTGAGGGGCAGCTCAGAGAGGATGGAGAACGCTGCCAAGAGGAGGCTGGCTGCCAACGCCCGCGAGAGGCGCCGCATGCAGGGGCTCAACACGGCCTTCGACCGCCTGAGGAAGGTGGTGCCGCAGTGGGGGCAGGACAAGAAACTGTCCAAGTACGAGACCCTGCAGATGGCTCTGAGCTACATCATGGCTCTGACCAGGATCCTTGCCGAAGCTGAGAGGTTCAGCAGTGAGCGAGAGTGGCTGAGCCTGCACTGTGAGCACTTGCACAGCACCAGCTACCACCACTACCCGGCACAGAAAGCCTCGGCCGACAGCGATCCCTACGCACACAGGGTGTTCAGCTACCACCCCGAGCACTTCCAGATAGCTAACTAGGACTTCTTGCCAGCTAACAGTGTGCAGCAAGCCAGATGTGTAATTTAATAATTAGCAAGAGTTAATCTGCTTGACTGAGGTAATATTGGCATTATAATAGCTCATTCTTGTTTGCGTCTTATAGTCATTTGACAAAATAAATTTGCTCTGAGAACATAAAGTCAAAAGGCATTTAAGATGAATGAATTTATTTAATGCTGGTGGAAATTATACTTTTAATTTGAAGTATTTCTGGCAATTGTTTCCTAGTTTATCTAGTGTATTTAATGCTTTAATTAAAGAAGGTTTTGGTGTCTTTTTTCACTGTGATGAATCATGACAGTATTTCTACAGATCATGGGACAAGTTGACCCGTGGTGTAACTGAATGGAATAGCACCAGAAATGGACCTCATTCCATGTTTTTCTTTTAATGTCAGCTTTAAAGTTGTTCTTTAGTGTCTTTTTGCATAAATGGTTCACATGGAAAAAGTTTTATAATGTATTGGAGTTCTAGTCCTCAGAGAACTAACTTTCTTAAACTTTGTAAGTTTGACATATGGGTTCCCAAGTTGTGTAGGTTTGCTTTAATCCAATTTATGGTGTCTCTTGTATGCTCGAAAAAGAGCTGTTTTCAAGTCATGGAAGGAATGTTTTATTTTCAATGGCTGTAAAAACACGTATGGTTGTATACTATAAATGAGAATGCTTGTGTGGAAATAATCTAAGCTTCTAGATTTTTGTAGGCTTTAAATGATGGGATTTTATTTTTTAACCTTATGTTATCTGGAAACAATAACAGATTTTGTAAATCTTAAATAAAGTGTTTTATATACTACGTCCTCTCCAAATATCTGAAATTCCTACCCTAGGAATTACTAGTGGATTTTCTACCCCAAATGTTTCACTACTTCTGTCACAATCCTGGCAGTTTAATGTGCTGAAGAAACAACCAGCAAATGATATTTTCTCCCCAGTTAGGAGTGTATTTTATGTACGAATTTGGGGAAGAATTTATGGAGCATTTTTGTAGAGGAGTTGAGTTCATTTCAGCCCTGGTGATGTGCTGAATGGCCTTTTGTTTCCTTGCTGCTTTCACTTGCAGGGGATAGAGGAGCCTGGGGAGAAAAGGCAGAAGAGGAAAGGAGGTTGGGAATATGAAGAAATGAGGAGAGAGAGGATGGCTGGGGAAGCAGACGTGTTTGTAGCAGGGTGCAGAGGCTGCAGCAGCTCAGCTGTCAGTGCCTGGTGTGGTGGCAGCAGAGGGGGGAGCTGAAGGAGGCTGCTGCTGCTGCTGAGGGGAGAGTGCAGAGAAAAGCCCTCCCTGGGTTAGCCCGGAGAGGGAAGGGGAAAACGGGCTGCTGCCCTGTCAGACACATTTTATGAAAATCCTTTCCTTAGGATTTTTTCTCCTGAGAAGCTGAGAGGCCTCAGGAACAAAATGTAACCAATGGTTATCTGCTGCTGTGGAATGCAACAGGGGGATCTGTGATTGGGCTCATGTGGTTGTTTCTAATGAATGGCCAATCACAGTCAGCTGGCTCAGACTCTCTGTCCGAGCAACAAACCTTTGTTATTCATTCCATTCCTTTTCTATTCTTAGCCAGCCTTCTGATGAAACCCTTTCTTCTATTCTTTTAGTATAGTTTTAATATAATACATATCATAAAATAATAAATCAGCCTTCTGAAACATGGAGTCAGATCCTCATCTCTTCCCTCATCCTGGGACCCCTGTGAACACGGTCTCACTGCCCTCAACAGCTGGTGGTGGATTTCCAGCAGGGAAGGCTGGCAGGTTCCCTGCTGGCTGCTGCCATGTCTTATATTTCAGGATTCTTTCAAATGACAAAAGAATAGCTTTGATAGGAGTTATTTTCGACAATTAAGCAGCTTTCAGAGAAGAACAAAGGCATGAATAGGAACTAAGCCATGTTTGGGGGAGAGGGGCTGTGCTGCAGGAGCAGTTCAGGGCAGGGTCCTGCCCTCCCTGTGCTGCCCTTGCTCCTGCCTTTCCTGCCCTGCCAGCTGGATGCTCTCTGCCATGGAGGATGGCTTTCAGGCTGCCTTTAAACACACTGTGCCTTCTGAGCAGCTCTCTGCTTTAAACACTGCCGTTCAGGAATGGGTTTTTAATGTGTATTTAGCCTCTTGAAAGGTAATGAATAGTGTTAATTATTAAAATGTGGGCCTTGCTTCCTGTGAATTGCATTAGATCTTTATCAGCAAGCTGAAAGTGGATTCAGCCTCCAAGATGTGAAGTCATGTTATTCAGACAGTAGAATTAATTGTTGTCCATCATATAGTCAAGTTAATTCTGTGTGAATATTACTTACCATTAAGTGGCAAGTTTATGTATGTAATAACAATGAATACAAATCTGAATTAAATTATATGCTATTTTACCCTAAAGTATTAGCTGTAAACTTCAGGCAGAAAGTCTCACCTGCCCTGCTAACAGCAGTGGGTTTTCCATACTGGAACAGGAATTGGATGCAAATAAGTCATGTGATTATATGACATAGAAAGCTTGGATTAGTGAAAGATTGCCTAAAGCTGAGGTGGGAAGGGGAATACAGTACAAAAGGATAAATGCCAGAATAGGGTGCAAGAACATGACTGATGCTTCTGTGCTACTGACATATGATTTGTTTTTGTGGGACATGACATTGCAGTCATTCAGGTAAAAGTACTTAACAGCCATTTCTCTTCCAATTTTGTTTCTTCTATGCAGCATTGTATTTATTTTTCTGCTGCATATGATGATATAGTTAAAAAAATAATGGATTTGTATGCAGGGAATGATTAAATGGTAATAAACTCTCATAAAGAGGAACAAATCAATACAAACCATAAAATATCTGTGCTCATGTTACCAAAAGTTATTAAGAATTGAAACTGAAGTCCTGCAAAGCACTTCAGTGCAGTATGTAGGTAGTGAATCAGGTCATGGTATCAATCTCTGCTTCTGATCAGCATGGTTAAGGTTATAATCCCCTGTAATCCCCATTCTCTTAGATTTTGTTGTGCTAACGGGACCTGAATGTTTATGGATACCTTTATTTATAATTAGTAATATGGCTGCTGGGAAATTTGTGATTTTTATCTAATGCTGTACTGGTTTTGTTCCTTGGGAGGGTGCAGTGTGGAAGTTGGGATTTCCAGTTCAGTGTAGTAGTGGAGGCAGCAGAGTAAATTCTGTGTCGTGCACAGACAGCTGTCTGTCCATTGATTATCTGCCAAAGCCTTTTGGGGAGTGAGTTGAGGTGATGGGAAAGTTTGATCATTAAAAGTTCTGTCTGAGTGCAGTTTGAAAAGCAGATAATGTCCATGCTGGTTGGGACTTCTCAAACACAACAACTATTCAGTAACTCATCGATTACTTTTAATAGCTTTCCTTTACAAATACTTTAGTGACATTTGTGAAATGTAAACCTGACAGTTTGACTTGGGTTTGATTATTGCTCCCAAATATTTGTTCCCCACTGACTTTTTGATGCTGGTCAGGTAATGGCTCTGAGCCACCTTCTGTACTGGACTTTGCTGGTGTGGGCATTTCATGCCCCGTCCCCTTAAATAATTATGGCTTCTGTTAGGCCTTCAAAGAAGCCAAAGCTTAGATGCTCAGAGCTTGGTGTATTCTTAGAGGCTGAGTTTTGTCTGCTCATAAATCTTTGTCCCGCTGAACAGTGCAGTGCAAACCTGAAGTACTTTTGTTTGTAGTATCAGTAGTACATCAGGTCCATCTGCCCAATTATCACTGTAATTGTAGAACCACATTATATAATGGGGGAGCTTTGGGGATGACAAATGCTTGCTTCATTTAATGTTTCTTGCATATTGTACAGATATGTGTTTCACTGTTGAAACTCAGTGTGAAATTCTAATGAACTATTTGTGGGAAATTACCCTCTATTTTTCTGAAAGGACTTTGTGCAGGGTTTTCTATTAGAAGCTACAGGTACTGTGCTTCCGTGATTCTTCAATCACCTCACCCTGTTTTGACATGCCCAGAGTTATTTTTGAGCTTGGAACTAGAGTGGCATTTTAACTGCTGTCACTTAGCAGTGGCTAAAAGCAGAATTAGGCTAGAACATTCCCAAAATGTGTGTTAGTAATAAAACCTCAGTGCTTTCTTCCTCATCATCAGCATGCCTTTCAACTTCCATTCATCCCAAAATTTTAGGCTTTTGTCTTCCATCCCACCATTTATGAGATATTTAGTGCACAGTCCATCTTGTACTATACATACACACAGGGCAAGTCTCAGTTCTTGACTGGAATTCTGAAATGGTGCTGCAGTACCCATTCTTGAAAGTAAAAATGTCCCTGACCTCAGCTCTACATTTGTAAAGTCAATGCCAGTGCAGCTTCCTCCTGGGGGGAAGCATGAGTACCATTAGGTAGTTCAATATTTGGCTCCCTCCCTCTGTATTGTGAAGTAAAACTTTCCATGTGAAATCTTTGTGGAAGTCCCTCCTGTGATGGGATTCACTAGGAACAAACTTTTTAAAAGTTCTATTTCCAGGCCAAAGGAATTGATTTGCCAAAGGAAGCTTTTGCCTTAACATAGGTACCCTTACTCTTGGGATTCCAGCTATTTGAGCTAAGGAATATGGAGATGGTTCTTTGTAGTTCAAGAGTGAAATTTATCCAGAGTTTTAGAATAATTCACAGAAGAGCTGCTTTTTGCTCTAAGTATGTTCAGCTCTTCTACAAAATAGCCAGGGGAAAAAACCAAGTGCACTGAGGATGAAGACATTTTATTCATGGAAGAAGCAGTCCAGTGTTTCCTCTACACAGATATCTTAAAAAACCATTGATTCCATCTGGTACTTTTGAACTTCCCAAAAATTCTCTATATTTTAAACTTTAATTACATGTCAAGCAAACTTGGTTTCAAAACCCCTAACCAACCCCATGTATAATATTTAAATGTCTCTTCTACTAAAGAGTACATTTTCATATTGTCTACTAATTTTTTTTTCTAATTTGGAGTTCAGTTTTCATTTGTACAGAAATA